TGACAAGAGCGATGCCTTCGGCATCCTGTCATCATTAGATGAGAGCGATGCCTTTGGCACCCTGTCATCATTTGATAAGAGAGATGCCTTCGGCACCCTATCATTAGTTGTCTTCGGCACCCCGTCATCATTTGACAAGAGCGATGCCTTCGGCACCCTGTCATCATTTGACAAGAGAGATGCCTTCAGCACCCGGTCATTATTTGACAAAGTGATGCCTTCGGCCCCTGTCATTATTTGGCAAAGCGATGCTTTCAGCACCCTGTCACCATTCGACGAGAGCGACGCCTTCGGTACCCAGTCATCGCCTTCGGCACCCTATCATGATTTGACAAAAGCAACGCCTTCAGCACCCTGTCATCATCCGACAAGAGCGATGCCTTCGGCACCCCGTCATCATTCGACACCATCGACACTACACTACTTGGATTAAGACTAAGGTGTTGCTCGGTCAATGCACTGAAAATCGCAAGTCCTCAACCAAGGAGTACCTCTTAGCTTGAGAACTTGGGGGAATTCTGTTTATACCGTATTTGACCAAGCAACTAAAAGCAACTCTAGGCAAAGCAAAGAGTCCCACATTGGAATATTACAAGAAGTGAAGGCTCCCCTCACCTATAAAAGGAAACCATTCTCCCCTTAGAAAATGATCCTTGGGCTGGGCTTGATCTTTAGTCATGACCTTCTCATTTCTTACTTTTATATTTGGGTCCAACCCCCATGTACAAATGTAAATACACAATATTATAATAATGAGAATATACTCCTCCGTGGACGTAGCTCATTCATTAAGGGTGAACCACGTATATCTTGTCTTCTGTATGTTCATCGCTTGCTTAAATCCTCACACACTTGGTGAAGGTCCTCACCTTCATCCATCATCCATCACACCTCATCACTAAGTTGGGCTCAAAAGTGCCGAACCATTTTTGAGCGTCAACAAATGTAATTGCATTGTGGAATTATTTATTTGTCTATGTTTTGCATTGAATTGAAATTCGATGTTTTGGAGAGCAACCAAAAACCTTGGGTTTGGTTGCTGGGAGTGGATGAGTGGATGAGTTTGGTAAGCTTCAGTTTGGTGTATGATTGGATTGTTCAATTTAATTGGTGAATGCTAGAAATTAAATTTTAGTTATCTAAATTAACTAAAATGTATTTGAGCAAATTCATGATGATGGATGGATATATGGGATTAATGGAAAGAAGCAGCATGTAAATTAAAAGCCTTTTTAACTTCCCACTAAATTATTCCCTAATTTCCCTATGAATTTAAATTTTCATTAAATTATCAAAGAATTTAAATAAAAAAAAGGAAAAACTACATAAACCCCGTCTCCCAAACTATAAGGTCATTTTCAAGTTCATAACTACCTTTAGAGACATTTACGAGTACATACTCAAACTCCCAGAAAACTTACAAATATCCCCCTCCGTTAGCCAAATCGTCAGTGAATCTGTTAAATGTTGATGTATCAAAGGTGGGACCCATTTTTTAATGACATGGACTTCCATGTGGACAAAAAATTAATTAAAAATTATAATTTCAAATATTTTTATAAAAAATATGAATATTCTATTAAAGGAATAAAAATAAAAATACAACAATGAAAAAATCTTCAGCAGCGTCCCAAAAACTCGAGTTGCTCCTTGCTGACTCCGACGTTGACATTGACGTCGCATACCACCGGGACAAGGGGTCTTCAACTTCCAAGCCCAAGGGTTCGCGCCATCCACAGACATCAGAATTTCACCAACGAAGAAGCGGGAAAATCCCCAGCAACTGCCATCCTCTAAACGACGGTCTACGCATATGGCCTAGCCACACTGACGAATAAGTTGGAAAATCTCCAGCCGTTGCCATCCTAAAAAATATCTAGAAGTTGCAATTCACTCAACGCTGGAAGCCGACGACGAAGCACCGAAGAAAATGGAGGTAGCAACCAGGCTCGATCGAGGGCTTTCTCGATGTTTTCTTGTGAAAATTGTAAACAAAAAAAAGCTCTCGCCCTCGCCAACACAATCGAAACCCCTAACCTTCGTCTAGCTCAAATCCCTAGTCTCCAGTTGATCTGATTTTTTTTGGGGGGCGGGGGGGGAGGGGAAGAAGAGAAGGAGAGAGAAAGAGAGTTGGGTTTGGGGGTGGGCGATAAGAAAGGGATGGCTGAGAGGTGGGGTTGAGTCAAGAGGAAGAGAGGGTTGGCTGGGTAGGAGAGGAGAGATGAGATTTTTTTTTTCATTTTTTAATGATTTTAATATGATAAAAAAAATTATTTTTAACATGTACATAATTTTTTATTATTTATTTGTCCACCTGTAAGTCCACGTCATTAAAAAATAGAACCCACATTCACCATATCAGCATTTAACAGTCTGACTAACGGCGTGGGTAATTTGTAGGTTTTCTGGAAGTTTGAGTATGTACTCATAAATGTCTCTAAAGGTGAGTATGAACTTGAAAATGACCTTATAGTTTGGGGGTTTCTATATAGTTTTTCCATATAAAAAATAGTGTGATATGATGTTATCCGGAACAGCACCAAACACAGTATAACTTAATCAGGCTATTTATCTGAAACAGCACCAAACACCTTATAATATTATGGATAAACAATCAGTACTCTCCGAAACATATTAATACTATCAAACAAATTAATCAGTACAGTATGACGTACCAAACCAGCTTTAAGTGATTTTCTCATAGGTTACCAAACGGGCTGTGCTTCCCAAATTTTTTAAAAAAAATCACTTATCACTCCAAATAAGCAAGCCAAATGGGCACTTAAAAGGTGGTTCCTCTAGCAATGTTCTCTATTTTAGCTAACCTCGAATATTTTTTTATTTCTTAAAATCTACTTTTCCAACAGGTATTTTTTTCTTTTCCAAAATGACATATTGTCTATCTATAAATAAGAACATATCTTCACTCATTTTCCTCCATTCCTTCATTTTCTCAATATTATCCGTGGCGCATCATTCTATAGCAAGTCATTTTCTACGTAATATTCTCTTCGACAACGATGTCCTTGATGACCAATATGAAGATGGTTTGCTTGCACATATAAAAACAGAGAATCTATCCAATGAGGGATGAACATCAAGGCTTCGTGGTTTTGTTGAATGTTGTGTTGTCGTTCCACGCAACATAGCTTGAGGTGGTCGAAATATTTATCAAGATTATTTAGTTGATCCACCTGTATCTCATGAGCATTTATTTAGGAGGAGGTTCCAATAACCTGCAACATTGTTCTTCGACTTAAAAGTGAGGTGGAAAATTACGATCCTTACTTTATTCGATGAAAGAATGCTGTTGAACTTCTTAGTTTGCCATCCTTTAAAAAGATCGCAGCCACACTAAGGATGTTTCCTTATGGTAATGCCATTGATAACTTGGATAAATATGTGAGGATTGGTGAAAGCACTGCTTTAGAGAGTCTAAAAAGATTTATCAAGGCAATTGTTGCAACCTTTGGTGATGAGTACTTGAGATCACAAAATAGCAATGACATCGCAAGATTGCTTGCAATTAGGGAACAACACGACTTTCCTGGGATGTTGGGGAGCATTGACTACATGCGTTGGAGATGGAAAAATTGTCCATATGCGTGGCAAGGTATGTATTCTGGTCATTTCCATGAACCAACAATTATTTGGTTAGCTACGGGCTTCATATAATTTTTGGATATGGCATGCCTTTTCTGGGTTACCAGAATCCCATAATGATATCAACGTCTTAGACTGATCTTCCATTTTCAATGAACTAGTTCAAAGGCCACGCTCCTCTAGTCAACTAATTCAATTAATGGTAACAATTATACCATGGAAATCTCCCTGATGGTATATATCCAATGTGGTCAACATTTGTAAAAACAATCTCTGGTCCATAGAGAAATAAGAAGAAATATTTTGCTGCTGCTCAAGAGTCAGTTAGAAAAGACGTCGAACGTGCATTCGGGGTGCTTCAATCACATTTTGGTATTATGCGAGGATCAGCTCATTTATGGGGACCAAAACACAATGAAAGATATTATGTCTGCATGCATAATATGGTTATTGAGGAGGAGCAACATGATGAGGGATATTGTCGTCAAATCCATAACTTTGATAGAATGGGGGAAATTCCAAATATAGAACCTACACATGAGTGTTCTCTAGGACTAATGGAATTCGTTCAAAACCATATGAAAGGAACAAAGTTTTAACCTGCAATAAAAAAAGGTTCAAATGCATTGCACTTATAGAAATAGACTTTTAACTATTGCCAGATCTTTTTGCCAAGATGTCTTTTTGAAGGCCTATCGTGTATTATGCTTGCATTGGTAGCATGTTAGTAGTATCCATTACCATTATTCTAGAATCCTCACTTTGATGTTGAATTTGAACTTCTTCACGCCTAATAGCAAGTTGCTTTTGCTCTGCAGCATACATCAATTGGAATTGCTCATCTTGTCTGCGTGCATGTTCTAGTTTATGTTTTCTTAATTCTTGGATTTTTGAACATCTATTGCAGACTCTACATTGCCACCCATTGGATTTTTATCCTTTTCCTATCTTGACAATTTCTTTGCAACCTTTTTACCTTCTGGCCTTTCTATACATGTAGATTCTTTATTATCTTCCCCTAAATTGATTGCACATGGAATGGAAAGATAAGAAGATGCAGGGCTTGCATTTTTACTAGTCTTGAATTTTTTTCTTGCAAGTTTCAGTAATCCATTTAGGTTGATCCTTCAATAAATGCGAACAATGCTCATACGCAAATGCAAATCCCATAAGTTGTTGATACAATTCTTTTGCTTGCAAGATCTTACCAGTATTTTAATAATCAATCAAACAGTTTGTAACAAATCATTTATAGTGTCAAAAACACAAATCATCGTACTAATCAAGTAAGAAATTCCAAGGTTTTATAATTTTTTTTTTTTTTTTGCGAGAATAAATATACATAATGAATAAATTTGAGTGTAAATTGGTAATTTTGGCAAGAAGATTACCCTGTCTTATTCGTTGACACCACTTTGAGACCTCCCTTCAATCTTGGCCATGTAGCCACAAAATTTATTCACTGGAAGTTGAATTCTTGACCAACGGTGTAGCAGAGAATTGGAAGTGCGTTCAAAAGTAAACTTCTTCTTTGCCATCAAGTATTCCCAAATTCTATTCCAATAAGTAGAACTCATTTGCTCGTTGCCATGCACTGGATTTAAGTTAACATTGAGCCATAAAGACACAAGAAGCATATCGTCTTCAACAACGAAATTCTTAGCTCTTTGTTGTTTCTTGGTGGTTGATCCAATTGGAACAGTCACTTGAGGCACTATATTGTCACCTTCACTTTGAGTAGTAGGTATGTTATTAAATGTTAAAAATGGATCAGTATGGTCTACCTGTCCATTGAGGATGTTGGCATAATATGCATTATCTACATAATTCATCTACATATATAGCCACATGACATTAAACCTATCAGATTAAGCAGTGGAGTGGGGAGAAATACAACCACAGTTAAGTTCATTAAAAAAATATTTTTGCAGAGAAGGATAAGATCTTAACAAAAACTAATGAGAAGCTCTGTGAAGGCACCCATCGAATAGTTTGCTGGCATAATTAAGTTCAATCAAGACAAACCCTAAAAATGCATTAATCTGAATCTTGCCTAACTTGAGTTTGCTCTAGATATTCAAATACTTGGTAAATCATATCAATTTCAAACACGTCCAAGCAAAAATCCATATACAAATTTCAAGAAAATTCATAAATAAAGAGGGAATTTTCAAATCTCACATGGAAATACCACTCAGAGTTCAAAGAGATGGAGAGAAACAGAGAAACAAGGTGAGAGAGAGCTGATAGAGAGAAGAGGATGGAGACTTTGAAGTTTTGACTTTGAATTTATTTACTGTTGCAAGGAGATGGCGAGCCTTGAATTTCTCTCTCCTAGTAGCTAGATATAGCGAGTCAAAATTGTGTTTTTCAAAATAGCAAGTAAGGCAGTGATCCTAATGAAGTCGCACATTTCCTTCTTTTTCGGCAAAATAACTAGGGATGAGGTGATATCAACTGTGTTGGAGATGCTCTTAGTGTATTAAAATTTTCTAAAAACCAATTAGAAAATGACAAATGGCTAGTTTTTAAATAAGCTCTATATGGGTACTTGTCTAATATGTCATGTTAGAATGGGATTATTCAAGAAAATTCCTATATTTTTATATTGCGCCCAAAAATTCAATTTTTTTGTAGAAAATGACAAATGGCTAGTTTTTAAATAAGCTCTATATGGGTACTTGTATAATATGTCATGTTAGAATAGGCCTATTCATGAAAATCCCTATATTTTTATATTGCACCCAACAATTCAATTTTTTGTACTAAAACTGTTATATTATTTAGTTTGAAAACTATTATATTATTTAATTGTTTCTGTCATATATTAAATTATTTTGTTGACGTTATAATTTATGCTTGAATTTTTTTGTTGGTCAAAATTTATGCTTGAAACTTGTGTGGTGGTTTGCAATTTCAGTACCTACCTTTTATTTTGTTCTTGATTTCTTTTGCTATGAAAAGAGTTTCATTTGATTTATTTTGAAATTATGTATGCAAAAGCATATCTTCTTTCCTGCTAAATTTTTGCTTGTGGTATGTGTATATTAGTTAGAAGAGGTAAAGACAATGCGTTCAAACAAATGAATTTGAATTCTTTTGCTTTTTTATTCTTAAATTTTAGAAGAAGGAATTAATTAAAATCATGAAAGTAACAATGCAAAGAAAGAGTAGTGCAAAACACAATCATATTCTCTTAGAGCCTATGGTCTAAGGAAATTGTGGTCACTCACTCTTGGATCTAATCTAGTAGTTGAAAAAAAAAAAAAAAACAAGTTTAAAATTTAATATATCATCATTTTATTTTAATGTTACTGTATAATATATTAATTTTACTTCAACAAAAACTGCAAAAAACGAACAAAAAAATAAAAAAAAACAACCAAAAGCATATTCTTCTCATTGTCGCCACCACAACCACTGACTTCGGTTGAAATTATAGCAAACCCAGCGAAGCGAGTGAGTTTGCGGCCTCATCTCAATCCAACAATTGAGTCATTTGAATGGTGGCTAGGAGTGGGCACGATCTAATTCAATCTGGTTTTCCCCAAGAACCAAAACTGAAATTGAAACAGAATAATATACACAATTATGTTCGGTCCATTCATGCCTAAAATGACTAGGAAAACTGAACCAAAAGGCACATGTTCGGTTCCGATTCGATTTTGCCGATTTTCGATTTGGGCCTGAGCCCATTTTTGTTTTTGTTTTTTATTTTCACCCTTCAAATATGAAAAGCCCATTTCATTTAATTATTCTTTTAAATTTTGTGTAACAAGCATGAGGCCCCTATCTCTTCTTAATCCACGATATTGCTATAGATAGGGATTTCCACAACATCTCCAAATCTAGGAAAGTCATACAAATCCCAAAGACCATTAAAACTTGTAAACATGTAAAATGAGGATAGTAGGTCATGCTGCCTCCCTACCCTTGAAACTTCACAAAGCACGATCCCTTCCACATTAGAGCTATTTGCATCTAGTAGCATGCATCAATTAACCAAATTCCTAGCCAATAATTCTACATACAAGGCAGCAAGACAAGAATAATTAAAAGCAAGATGTAAATTAATGCATGACATCGGAGATCATCACTTCTGAGAGTTTTCTTATGATATATCTATACATGCAAGGCAGAAGGGGTTGGGTATGAAAATAAGATGAAGCTACTGAAGGAAGAGAGATGAGATAAGAGATAAGAGTGAAGGAGGTGGCTGAAAGAAAATAATGAAGATTGGGAGATGAAAAAGATGAGGTACGTTTGGGGTTGGAATATATAAGGTATATGGGCTTTGAAGTTGGGCTACTTATATAAGATATACCTCTTCGGTTACATCAACTACATGTCCCTCTGCAACTTGTCTTCCTTCGATGTTGCAGAGATTTTTACCCCTTTGTGGCGGTTATCTATCATTTTTTTTACTTCACACTCGTCTAAACCACTTCACCTCTACTCTACACGAGTGGTGTTAGGTTCTTCCTTCGAATATGTAGATAGACCTTTGCTTGGCTCCTGTTAACTACTTTTGAAAGAGGCTTCCATTTGTAGGGATAAGTTGCCTTTTGGGAGAGTGTGCTTGGCCTTTGTTGCTCCTCTATCTCCTTTATTGTGGTGACTCACACAAGAGGAACCTCTTTTAGCAATTGAATGGTCACTTTGTTGGGTTTCCACACCTATGCTGGAGACGGTCGGTGTTGGTCATATGAGTTATTCCCTATTAAGAGGTTCCAAATCCACCAACTAGTTTGAGTATTCCCAAAGATCACGACGAGGGATAATTCCTGCGAAGTGTTAGAAATATGTATTTAAAGTCAACTAATTATGTAATAGTTAGAGTTATGGGCATCTTTGATAAAAGACATATTATGTTATCAATGGGCAAGAAATGTTGTTTTATACATTAAATCATCCTATATTATCTTTCAATATGTAGAACAACCATAGTCCAAGGAATACATAAGTGGATATGAGAACTATGTAATGAGATTGCATAATGGAGACTTATCCCTGAATCCTGAATATGTTCCTGGTCATAGGAATATTGATTAAGCATCAATATTCTGTAAAGACTAGTACACACAGTATCGTTTCTATATGTAGGGAATGGTAAGGTCTCAAATCATTAAGTGTGGAGACATATCAATATGTGTGTAGGTGCTTGTAGAAGAACAAGTATACTGAACGCGATCCAACACATGAGTTAAAGCATAGAAGTCTTTGCTCACATGTCAAGCTGGAACTCATAAATTGCAATGGTGCAAACTAATCCTTAGACCTGAGGCATTATAGATGTTTTGTGGCTATGTTGTTAATCTTTGAGGGCACTATACGGTCATGCTGAATTATGCATAGCTTAAAGATGCTCATCAGGATTCTCAATAGAGTCATGGAAGCAAATGGATGGAAGCAAATGGATATACAACAAAAAATCTATACTCTCAATAAAGAAGAGAGAATACTCCAAGATATGATTGATCAAATTTCTAAGCATAGTAGTGGATAAGACTTGAAAGAAGAAGTCTTCAAATCTTACCAAGATAATCACACAAAAAGAATGATTCACATTAAGATATTGACAATCAGATTCCATGATCTAATAATGTGAATAAGGAGTATTGACATAAGAGAAGGATTTAATTGCATGGTCATTCTAATTTGAATAGGTTCTTTCACAACGTCTCATTTGGCTCGGATAACCGTGACTTGCTGTTAGGCGGCAACCATGGTTTATGGATGTCCTAAAAGGTTTCAATTAACCTTTATTCATAGAAAGAATTAAATTATGGAATTTTATTCGTAAATCATCTCTGAAGAGTTGAGTCAACCCACTACCTTGCTAAAAAAAACCTACAGATTTGCGCACCCAAAGAATATGATTAAAAGTATAAATGAGGAGAAATGAAATGAGGAGACACAAGTCAATGGTTGATAATCAAATGTCAAAGTCAACGGTCGAAGTCATCATGTTGACCAGAGCAATTGACCAAAGTCATAGAGTTCGATCGGGTTACTATAATTATAATTTAATAATTAAATTATAATTAAAAGAATAATTATGGGATTAATATTGACATATTGAAATATTGGATTGGAATATAATTTAAAAGGAAAGGGACAAAATAGCCCAAAAGGCTATTGGGCCCAAGTGATAAGTGGCATAAGATGACATAACCCATGGACCAAATGGAGCCCCAAATACCCACCCAAATTTAGGCAACTAAGGGGAAGCTCTCCTCTTGCCGTTTGTGTTATCCTATATAAGCTCAGTATTGGAGAAAACCTAGCTAAGGTTTTTGGTTTCCTATTTTGGTTGATAAGTGATCATCTTTGTATCTCATCTTCCATAAACCAAAAATTGGTCCAATCAAGAAGTAGACTAGCATCCATACTTCTTGATTGCCTTCTCTTCATCTCTAGGAGCATTTGGTGTGGTGAGGTAGAGGACTCCAATCTTGGAGTCTTAAGGTGAAGAAGTCAAAATCAAGAGAAACAAAAGGTCTTTTCAACAAAAGTGTTCATTCTTGAGAAATCAAGAAATTATCATCAAAGGTAAAGATCTATTTCCTTTTCCCTTTTCTATTTGTGTTTAAAGAGACTAGGCTAAGATACTTAGTTTAAAATGAAAAATATTTAGCTCAACTGGTATAAACAAAATGAATCCGTCATTTAGAATGTTTTTGTTGTATAAGTTGTGGCTAAAGTTCATTTTTTAAGCATTAGATGCATGTTTCCTTCACGAAGCATATCCATTGAGTGCGCTAGTTCCTTCCCTCTTCTTCTATGAACATGATGCCCCATGTTAGGCTCGTCTTCTGAGCACGCTGGTTTC